ATTATTGACACATCTACATATATATTCCTCTTTCGTCTTCAATAAGTATGATTTATCCAAAATTGTTAATATCTCCTATTTCATATAAGTAAATATAATACGGAGTGTTATCAATTTTAAAAGAGTTGCTATATTAAAGTTAATACTAGGAACATCATTATTTTTATAATACGGTAAGATGTAATGAAAATATAGTAAATTCATATTGCAATGTATAAAACGATTAGACAGAACATGAGTCTTCTGATTTTTGCATAATACACATTAAACACGGGAATAATTATTTCTTTCAGTCGTTTAGCACTTTGACGCGATTAAACGAATTCTCAGTAGCAGTGTAAACGAAACCGTGCATCGAATGACGTCGTTTTCCACGCGCCCGAGTACTCGATAATAGCAGAGTTCTTTCTCTTTCATCCCTAACTCTCTTCTCTTTCGACGCAAACGAGTCTCACAACAAAAAAAGAGAACGGTAGAACGACAACGCGACGTGTACGAGAGCTTTATGCACCGTCCGCGTAATACACTTACACCACACGAAACCGACGACGACTGTAGCCTCGCAATTCAGGACGCGACTATTTTCTGCCGCGTGTGACAAACGTGCGTTACATACACATACACGCTCGTGTAATTTTTCACACGAGCTCTCGCCCCGATTTGAGTGATTATCCACAGGCTGTGGATGCTCGCACGGAAAGTGTCCGATTGCACAAAAAATGTGTAACGCCCATGAGAAATTCCAAGGTAAAATGATTGATTCCAACCGAGACATTTGGACCACGAATTTCTCCAGCAATAGATACATGACCAATGCAATAGGATTCTTGGCAATACGTACGGTCTAACATTTATTAACAAAATAATTCAGTTAATTGTTACAGATTAGAGAATGCTTCAAATTAACAGTACTGACAATTTTCTAATTACACGTCTACGTTTTCCCATCATTTTCATAAAACGAATAAAAATTCTTTACACACGTAGATAGCATTTTCCTAGTATTTTCAAACTTCACAATTAAACCTATT